CATGATCTCGCGGTTCGTGGGTTCGAGCCCCGCGTCGGGCTCTGTGCTGACTGCCAGCTCAGAGCCTGGAGCCTGTTTCAGAGTCTGTCACTCCCTCTCTCTCTGACCCTCCCCTGCTCATGCTGTCTCTCTCTCTCCTAGAAATAAATAAATAAAAACATTTAAATAAAAAAAAAAAGAAAACAAATTAACGGGCAATCAAAATGTACTAAACGCCGCAATATTCCTTATATACCTTACAGAGAAAGCTCAACTTCCTGCCTTGAATCCACCCATGGGAACATAAAGAACTGGAAATACGAAGATAAAGTACAAAGAATTCATGCCACGACCTCAGATCAGCGACAGTGTCAAAAGTAGTACAAAATGATCCGAGAGACACAACATTTAACAGTCCTTTGGATTTCAAGGTTAGAAAATGACATCTGCCTCCTGCCATGAAAACCAGCAGTGATCCTAAAACAATTGTTGTGTCAATGTTGAGACAGGCAAACCAAGCTCAAAGTCCAGAAATTGCAAAAGGGAGGTAAACTCTGCAAGGGGTGCTGCCCGGGGACAGCCACTTGCACAAAGGGTATAAAACATAGTAGGTTGCCCTCTCCCCCCATTGTTACACTGGGAAGTCCTCATCCCTGGCTTCTGACTGGGAGCTTCAGCTGTTGAGGGCCAATGGATAGGTGCTCTAATTCCTTCACTGAGAAGTCGTGGCACCCAGGTTCTTGAACCGGTCCTGCGGGCAGCCCTTGACGCCTAGAGCTGGGCATACCTTGCTCCTGCCCCACCATGACACTGCCCGCTAGGTCCAGGCTGCCTCCATCAGCCGGGAGACGGTCGGACTTCCTGGAAACTTTCTAGCAGGCTGCAGCCCTAGACGAGGAAATCCTGCCGGGAGGGCTCCCGGTTCAGCCGGCGCTGCCGGGGAGAGAAGACAGGACGCTACGGATTACTCACAGTTGGCCTCGGCGACGGGGAGCGCGAGCACGAGGCACGCCAGCAGCGCCCCGCAGCGCCCACCCAGGACCCTCATCGCGGAGCGGGCGGCGGCGCGGGCGGGCGGCGGGAGCGCGGCGCGGCGCGGCGGGGACCTGCGAGCCGGGGCGCCGCTCGGCGAGGACTGCGGCGCGGCGGCGCCTGCGAGCGAGCGCTCCGGCGGAACGGCGCGAGCCGGGGGCGGGGGGACCGCCCGCTCCCAGCCCCCAGCCCGAGAGGGGACGCGATAACGAGGACATTTCCAGGAAGCTTTTCGACGCTGGGGGCAGGGCTCCGGGAGAGCGTCGGAGGCCTAGTCAGCACGGTGGAGCCCCCTTCCTCGCCGGCCCCCGCGCTCCTGCGGTTCGTTCCCAGGCTCCGCAACGTGAACTTTCCCAAGCAGGGAAGTACACGCAGGAGAAATCTCCAGCGAGCTAGGGTGAGAGGCTGCGTGGCCGGCAACTTTGAGGACTGAGCACCGGGTGTCGGAGCTTAGGTGGAAAAATCATGCCGAGACGCTCTCTGATGTTGGGGATGAAGACGTTCATCAAACCTAGAAGCGAATAACTCCAGGAAGGCGACAGAGAAGAGATAACGGAAGCAAATGGCATAGTTTTGATCATCTACATTTTCATTTTGTTCTTGCATTTATGGTGGAAAAAAAATATGGATAGGAAAAATATGTTTTGAGGAAAAGATGAGAAATATATCAACTTCCATCATCTTCAGACAGCTCGGTTTGGGTTTTTTTTTTTTTTTTTTTTTTTAATATAACCCCTACTCTTCGTGCTTATACATAGACATTTGAAATGTTATGTAACGTTTAAGGGGGCCTCTGGAGCTAGAACTCCTGATTCAAATCTCAACACTTCCATCACTTACTAGTAATGTAACTTTAAGCAAATTGCTTAACCTCTATAAGCCTCAGTTGTAGTATCTGTAAAATGGGGATAATAATGGGTTTTCATAATATTAATGTAAGGATTTTTTAAAGTATATTTCTTTACTTATTTGTTTTATTTATTTGAGAGAGAGCGTATGTGCTCAGGCAAACGGGGGAAGGGCAGACAGAGAGGGAGAATCCCAAGTAGGCTTCTCACTATCACTGCTTAGCCCCACTCCCCACTCCTGGGCTCCAACCCACCCCAAAATCAAGATTTGGACCCTCAACCAACTGAGCACCAAGCACCCCTGAAATCCCTATCGTGAAGAGGTATCTGTACTCCCATGTTCATTACAGCATTTCTCACAATAGCCAGGATATGGAAACCACAACCTGAGTCTAATCAATGGATGGATGGATGGTTAAAGAAAACATGTGATATAGAGATAGACATAGACAGATAGAGATATTTCACATTTAATAATACAATTGGGGCATTATGCTAAGTGGAATAAGCAGACAGAGAAAGACAACCACTGTAGAAATCGCTTACGTGTAGAATCTTAAAAAAATAAATAAATAAAAAGCAAATTTATAGAAACAAAGGAGATGAGGAGTAAGGAGATGAAGAGACTTTGATAAAGAGTATATAAACTTTCAGTTATAAGATGAATAAATTCTGCGAATTTAATGTACAGCATCGTGGCTATAATTATATTATATACTGAAATTTGCTATGAGAGTAGATCTTATATTCTCAAAAAAAAAGGGTAACGATGTAAGGTGATGGGTGTGCTAATTAGCTTGATGTAGAAATCATTTACCGTGTATACATATATTAAATCATCATATTGTACACTTTAAATATATTTATTTGTTAATTATCCCTCAATAAAGCTGGTAAAAGAAATCAAGTAACATTTAGGATGCTAAATAATCTCTGGGGGATGAAATAAAAGTCTTAGCTAGAATCGTGACAGCAAGATGGTTTTCATCATTCAGAATAAACTAGATTACACTACAGTGAAACAGCCGTGAAATTAGAGTGGTTTAAGATAAGTGATTGTTTACTTCTTGCTCATGGGAAGTTCACTGCAGGACTTTCTATGCAGACATCTTCCAAGTGTTGGCTCAGCATACCATGCTATTTGGGTTTCATAGTACTTCAAAGTTAATGTCGTCTTCCACAATTACCATTTCATTCACATTTCACTGAATAAAGCAAGTCCCATGACTTCTAAAGGGTAAAAATAACTATCTTAAATGCTTGTAAAAGAAAAAGAAAACTGAAAATAGTGTGCAGTGCTTATATCTACCAAACCACTTAAGGTTTTGTAAAATGAATAGTCAATTTAGTTGACTGATTATATATGGCACAAATGTTTGATAATGTGTAATTCTCAAAGGAGACAAGAAGTAGAGCTGAGGTTGAGTATATTTCTTGAGGGGAAAAAAAGAGTGTTGAGTATAGTTCCAGAAATGCTGAAGAAATATCTGCATGGTAAGTCCCTTCAGGCACAGAAATAAGTAATTGGATTCTCCAGAGAACATGTTTTTATTATTTATTTATTTATTTATTTATCGAGAGAGGGAGAAAGGGAGAGAAAGAGCAGGGGAGGGACAGAGAGAGAGAGAGAATCCCAAGCAGGCTTCTCACTGTCAGCGCAGAGCCAGACACGGGGCTAGATCTCAGAAACAATGAGATCGTGACCTGAGCTGAGATCAAGAGTTGGACACTTAACCGACGAAGCCACCCTGGCACCCTCAAGAGAACATGTTTTTAAAAAAGAGAGTAGAAGGATAAGGTCAGATCTTGGAGAATACATATTGGAAGCTGCAGTAAGAATGACCAGTGAGATCAGAAGAGAACTGGAATAGTACATAATTGTGAAAAGCTAAGGGAGGAAAGAGTTTTAAAAGAGTTAACTGTATTAAACGTATTAAGTGATGGAAAAGAAAACGTGAACTGACTTGATAATTAGGAAGTTACATTTAAAAATATGTTTTGCATAGTTTGATGGAGCAGAAGCCTAATTACAGGAAATTGATAAAAAAGAGGAAACAGAAAAAAAAAATAGTGCTTTAGGGTTTTAGTGGTAAACTACCAGTTTAGAAAGTTAGGTTGTGAAAGTAAAGAGTTAGCAGAAGAGTACTAACCTAAGGGGAAATTGTGGATCTCTCCTGCCCTGCCTTCTTACCCCTTTTTCACCCTGGAAATTGTAGCTGAAGGTCTAGGAAAATAAAACGGGGGAGGGATGTATTTCACATGTTGGATCAAGAATAAATAATCAGGGGCGCCTGAGTGCCTCAGTCTGTTAAGTGTCTGATGTTGGCTCAGGTCATGATCTCACAGTTTGTCAGTTGGAGCCCCACATCAGGCTCTATGCTGACAGCTCGGAGCCTGGAGCCTGGAGCCTGCTTCAGATTTTGTCTCTCTTTCTCTGTATGCCTATTCCTCGCTCACACTCTCTCTTTCTCTCTTCTAAAAATAAACATTAAAAAAATTAAAGCAAAAAAATAATCAGGAGCGCCTGGGTGGCTCAATTGGTTAAGCGTTGGATTTTGGCTCAGGTAATGATCTCATAGCTCATGGGTTCGAGCCCCCTTGTCAGTCTCTGTGCTGACAGTTCAGAGCCTGGAGCCTGCTTCAGATTCTGTCTCCTTCTTTCTCTCTCTGTCTCTGTCTCTCAAAACTAATGAATAAAATGTTTAAAAAAGGAATAAATAAAGGAATGGGATTTCAGAAAGATTGAAAAATGATGTTTGTCAAAGTTGCAAGGAAATGGTTAACCTTGGAAAAGATAAGGTAGGTATCTTCAGATATTAGAAAATGAGAACAAATAGTGAGAAAAGAAAATTCACAAAGGTATAATTCAATTTTCCTCATTAACTCTGTAGAATAGAAGTATTATTGTTTCTGAATAGGAGAGTCCAGGCAGAGGAAGCATCTGGCACTGATGAAGGGCAGGTTCAGTTAGGAAAACTAGTAGAGGTCATGCAGCCTGGAGCGACTGGAAACAAAACTGAAGTTATCAAGTCAGGACAATGAAAATAGTAAACAAGACTCCTAGCAATTTGGAGAAAGAGATAGGAGGTAACATACCATAAATGTTTATTATACAAGTGACACCAGCTTTAGAATCTGCTGTCATAAGCTTTATTTCTCTCATTTCATCATCTTAGCAACCCCACAGTGTAGGTAATTTCATTGACATTCTGCAGATGAGGTACTTGGGTTCAGAGATCGTAAGCTGTAAGAGACATATATGAGTTTGAATTAGGGTTACATGAATGAGTGAAGAACAGAGAGCTAAATCTATTTGTAGTTCCAAACCATTATTTCCCCTCCTGGATACACTGGATATTACAGGGCCCTCTCTCCTTTTACCAAGATTTGAAAAAATATATAAGTAGAAATAGAATAGACACACAAGTTCCTACATAACATGCATGCATTTTTTTCCCCTACAGGAATGTACTTAACCAACGTGACAATAAACTATTTGTTAAAAAAAAAAAATGTACTTGTCATTTTTTTCAATAAAAATATATAAAAACAAATACAGACATTACATATTTCTGTAAATAAGACATACTGCAGAAGAGTCAGCAGATCATCTTCATCATGTAGAAACCAAATAGCTAGCAACCTAATATTATATAAAAATCCTAGAAAGAGCATATATCAAAATGTTAATATTGGTTATCTTCAGGTGGTGAACGTGAGATCTTATTTTCTTCATCTTACCCCTTTTTCAGTGTTTTCCACATTTTATACGATGAACATACTATTTCTTTTTTAATCATAACTCCCACACAATTTCATTATATATTTCATGTAGCAAACAGCAATAAGCATTAGACAGATTAATATGTCATCTGAAATATTGGATAGTTAGCAACAAATGAGTTTTCCCCTCGTCCTTAACTTATAATAACTGCTCCAGTGTATTGTTTCTGTAGTTGTGCAGTCTGCCGGAATCCCAAAGGATCCCAGCCCTGCTTCATAAGAGAAAACAAAACGCGCACAAGACCTAAGCTCTCTGTATCTCAGTTGGGGTTAGAGACACAAGAGGAACAACACCCTCGGCTGGCAACACATTTTGTGTGGGTATACAGAGAGGCCTTGCCCAGGATCTGTCGGGGATTTTTTCAACTCGTCTGTGGACGCTCCAGTTGCCTAGTTACGAAAACCATCTTCCCGCCCCCGCCCTCCCGGGGCACTGGGAGTCCTGCCCCTTCAGCCACTCAGCGGCCCCCACCACGAGCCGGCGGATGATGATTGGAGAAGTACATGGGCGGTGCTTGGGGTGGGCCTTCCGCGCCCGGGAGAAACGTCAGCACGTCGACGCGGGGTTTTCACTGGCCGGGCTCCGCTAACCCTACTGGGGTCTGTGTCTCTGTGCCTGTGGGCCCGGTGGTACCTGGGCGAGGAGGCCGTTGTTCGCTCGCGGGCCGGCGCGGTTACCAGGGCTGAGCGCTGGGACTGACCACCCCCACCTCCCTCCCGACTTCTCCGCCTCAGAGGTGCCTCGGAGCGGCTGCGGCCCCGGGACTCGGCCCGGGGCAACGAGGGGCCCTTCCTCGCTCGGGGCTCGGATGGGAGGCGTTGGGAGCAGCGGCCTGGGATGTTCAGTCTGATGGCCAATTGCTGCAGCTGGTTCAAGCGGTGGCGGGAGCCGGTCAGGTAGGCTGCAGCCGGCTGGCCCGGTGCCGTCCTAGGGGATTGGGACAGTTGCGCCCTGAGGGCCCTGTAGGGGCGCCACCTTTCCTCTGGGCAGAGCCGCTCCCAGGCCGCGAGGGATGCTTTTGCTCCCAGTCTGACTCTTCTCCGGAGGGAGAGAAAGCACGATGTAGCTTTTTTGCCTAGTTACATTGACGTTCTCACAATGCTTTCTGTTATTACTTAAATGGGTTCGAATTTCTTAAAAAGTTGTGGCTTTTGTGTATGGAGTTGGAAACCATCCGTTGTGTGTTTTTCCTGATTCTTTAGTAATGGGATTTTTTTTTTTTTTTAAACAGAGGTATGGCATACAGTTTTCATAACACACACACATTCTTTTTCAACACATAGACACTCACTCGCTGTTTTAAGGACTTGGGTTTGAAATCTGGCTCCACTGCTTAATAATTACATGACTTCACCTCTTTGGCCCCACCTTCGTCATCTATTATATGGGGGTGATAATATCTATGCCTGAAGAGTGTTGTAACAAGTGAGAATAGCTGATGGGAAGTGTTTTTCTTAACTGTAGTGTAGCTTCAGTTTTCGTGTGACATCTAGTTAAGCCTTTAATTCAAAGAGTCCACTGCTTACCCTTTCATTTTGGAATGCTCGATGTATTAATATTTAGCACCTGCTACTTGGTAGTCATTCATTTGTTGAGAAAATACCATGTACCAGGCACTGTGCTAGGAAGGAGTCAGGGAAAATGATACTTTTTAGGCTTAACCTTTAAAGAAGCCTTAAATTTGTTACTCCTTATAAATAATGTTGACCTTGGAATTAGGCTAAGAGTAAATTATAACAAAGTTCCGATTTTCTTTTGATTTCCCATTTTCTGAAGAGCTTCAGTTGTTCAGCATTTTGGCAGGGATCACAGAGATGACTTCTGGGATGCAAGAATAAACCTAAACTCTTACCCCAAAATGTATTGGTGAATTTTATTATCAAAAATACAAAATCCCTTTCTCTTTTGTCATCCTAGCTTTGCTTCAATTCTTTCTTTAGTATGCAAACATCCACAAGCTTCTCTTACCTAAAAACAAAACAAAACAAAACAAAAAAAACAACCAACCCAAACCAAATGTTTCCTACTGCTGCTGTAGCAAATCACTGTTAATTTAGTGATATAAAACAACACAGATTTAGTATCCTGCATTTCTGAGGTCACAAGTCTCTTATGGGTCAGTAGGGTTGCATGTCTTCTGGAAGCTCTACCAGAGAATCTGTTTTTCTTTGCTTTTTCCAGCAAAAGAAAAAAAAAAGGTTGCCTGCAGTCCTTTGGCTTGTGGCCCCCTTCCTCCGTCTTCAAAGCCAACTGCATAACATCTCTTTTTAAGACTCCTTTTTATAAGGACTCTTGTATTTACATTGGGCCATCCCAAGATAAACTTTCCATCTGAGATCCCTCACTTAATTGTGTTTGCAAAATTCCTTTTGCCATGTAGGGTCAGATGTTCACAGGTTCCAGCGATTAGGATGTGGACATTGTTGGGAAGCCATTATTCTGTGTCTACCATAATAAATAACCCTCTGTCCCTGCAACTATGTTTGCTCTTTCCCTTCACCCCCGATGGAAGAGTTGGCTATGGATTCCTGATTCTGACACTGTCTTAACTTCCTTTCCTCAAGCATTCCTTAACTTCCTGCCTTAGGTGACTTGTGCCCAGAAGTTCTTCCTGCTACACCAGATGCTGCCTGGTTAATAAATCTAGTGGCCTCTTTTCAGTCTCGGCATCATTGGACACTTAAGACCACTCTCTTCTTGAAATTCTCTGACTTATTCTTCCTAAATTTAAAAAATTTTAGTTTTCTACCTGTTGCTTTTTCTGTTTCTTTTTGCCAGTTAGCCTTTCTTCATCTCACTCTCAAGTCTCCCCGAGGATTCTGTGTTCAGTTCTCTCTCTCTCCTTCTCTCTCTTTTTATTTTTATTTTTTTTCCTCCTGTTTATTCTCCTTTTCCAGGCAGTTTCACCACATATAGACTTCAGCAGCTATTTCAACATTGACTCTCAGGTTCATGTTTCCAGCAGTGACTCCTCTGCTGCTTGAAGACTTACTTATCCCTTTCCACAAGAATCCTCAATCCCTGCATATCCCAAATTGAGCTTTATATCCTCCCTCATTTCCATGCTGAATTGCTGCTGCTTTCCCTTTACCCAGATCGAGCCATGAGTAATTCTAGATACCTCTTTGTGCTTTGTTCTCTCAAATCATCAAGTCCTTTGGTTTCTACCAAAGTGTTTACTACCACTTATATGTCTTATACTCTTTTAGCCTTTCCATATCCACTGCTGTTTTAGATAAACTTTCCATTACTTCTCCCCCAGATTTCTTTGACAGACTTTCCACTATTCCCTTATGATTAATTCTTTACACTGTTGCCAGTGTCTTCCTTTTTCCTCCTGTTGTGCCAATTTTGGGGTGCTTAAGTTCTCTAGCCCCTCCATATCTCACCAGATGCCCTTCTTTTTTGGCTGTTCCTAATCATTCCTCACTTGTCAGTTGGTCGATTCTTTCAGGCAACTGTCTTTGCATTCAGCTAGATTCTTTACCTTTTCATTATGTTTGCTTAGCACCTGGTATTTGTCTCTATTTTTCCATGTATTGTAATGAAATGTTTATTCAGCTCTTCACAGGTCCTCTAGGATGGCTTGTGGGCAGGAGCTTTTTTTATTTAAAAATATTTAAAAATTAATGTATATTTTTTCTTTAAAGGTGATGAATGTTTCTGTAGAACATTGACAGCATGGATGGCTAAGCAAAAAAATGGCAGATATTAGTTACCCTTAATCTTACCCCCAAAGATTTCCATTTTGGTGTAGAATCTCTTACATATCTGTAAATTTTCTTTTTATTGAAGTGTAGCTGACATACAATTTCCTATTAGTTTTAGGTGTATATCACAGTTATTCAGTATTTTTATACTTTATCAAATGATCCCCATGGTAAGTCTAATTATGATCTGACATTATACAAAGTTATTACAGTATTATTGAGTATATTCCTGATGCTGCATATAGCATTCCCATGAATTATTTATTTATAACTGGAAGTTTGTGTCTCGTAATCACCTTCACCTGTTTCACCTGCACACCATCTCTGCCCACTCTGGTAACCAAGTGTATTTCCTGTCTCTGTCTCTGTTTTGTCTGTGTATTTGTTTGTTTTTTAGACTCCACATATAAATGAAATATGGTATTTGTCTTTCTCTGGTTTATTTCACTTAGCATAATACCCCTAGGTTCATCCTTGTGGTAAATGACAATATTTCATTCTTTTTCTTAACCAAGTAATATTCCACTGTATATCTATACAGTTCCTCTTCTAAATCTATTCATCTATCATTGGACACTTGGGTTGCTTCTGTATCTTGTCTATTGTAAATAATGCTGCAGTGAACATGGGGGTACATATATCTTTTCAAATTGGTATTTTTGTTTTCTTTGGATAGATACCCAGAAGTGGAATTGCTGGATCATATGGTAATTCTATTTTTAATTTTTCAAGGAATTTCTATACTACATGTTTTCTATGGTGGGTGTGGCTGCACCAATTTACATTTACACCAATAGTGTATCAGATTTCCCTTTTCACCACATCCCCATCAACACTTCTTATTTTTTGTCTTTTTGATAATAGCCAATCTGACTAGTGTGAGGTAATATCTTATTATAGTTTTGATTTAAATTTCCCTTATGAATAGTGATGTTAAGCATCTTTTCATGTTGGGTGTCTATAGTCTTCTTTGGAAAAACATTTGTTCACATCCTCTGCCTGTTTATTAATTGGGTGGGTTTATTTTGAGTTGTGTCAAGTTATATATTCTCCTAAGTTTATACATTTGGGATATTAATCTTTTATTGGATGTATGATTTGCAAATATCTTTTCTCATTTTTCATTCATTGCCTTTTTTTGTTGATAGTTTCCATATGTGTAAATTTTTAAACAATAAAGAGATAATGATTATAGAGTTGCTATTTCACAGCTTTTAATTTATTTTTGCTCTAGTCATAATTAACGTCTTTGTGCAACATTATATGTTTCTCATCTTCTTAAGCAGAATAGTGTGTTCTATAGAATCACCAAAGTATGTTTAGTCAGTCCTGTTATTAAATATTTGGGATATTTAAAATTTTTCACTATTGTGAGCAATGCTTGGGTAGGCATCCTTATATAAACATTTTTAGAAATGGAATTCGAGATCAGATGGTATGGAGAATTTAAGATATTTGGTATCTATTGCCAAATTGCTCTTCAACAAGACTTTTTTTTAAAAAAAAATCTTTTTAGTGTTATATTTATTTCTGAGAGAGAGAGAGACAGCGTGAGCAGAGGAGGGTCAGAGAGAGAGGGAGACACAGAATCTGAAACAGGCCCCAGGCTCTGAGCTGGCTGTCAGCACAGAGCCCAAGTGGGCTCAAACCCACGAATCCTGAGATCATGACCTGAGCCGAAGTCGCACGCTTAACTGACTGAGCCACCCAGGCACCCTGGCAAGACTTTAAAGAAAATCAATTGTTACTCCTCCCAGAAGTGTATAAAAGTGCCTTTTTTCCCTCAAAAAGTGAGAGTCATCACTTTTTTTTTCCAAGTTATAGAGGGAAATGCTATCTGCTCTTAGTTTCTATTTTCTGAATTCCTAGTAAAATTGTTTTTTCTCTTGGACTTTTGTATTTCTTGTTTTAGGAATCTCCCAATGATTTCCTTTTCTGTTTTTCTACTGGGGCAAGTGCATTTTCTTACTGAATTTTCTGTAAGATATTTTAAATGTATATAGTAGTAACCATTTCTCTGTAGTATATATTATAGATATTTTTCTTTGATTTGTTATGTTTGTAAAATTTTTGGTGGTATTTGAAGCATAAACATTAAAAAAATTGTATTGAAATACACCACTCTTTCAGTGTAATAATTAGATTATATGCCATTATATGTATCCAAGATTATGTTCACCTGTACC